GCACTTCAAAACCATATTTTTTTTACCTTAAAACCATCAAAAACGGTTCGAAACGCTCGAAAATAGCAATTTTCAAAAAAGTGGGCCAAACGGCTCAGTGGGTTTTGGCACCAAATTGTATGGTCCACAACACCAAAAGTTCGATTCCTTCTGGGGTCTAAATTTTTTGATTTTTGTGTGAACCTCGAAAATGCAGTTTTTAGATCATGAAAATGTCTAAAAAGTATTTTTTTAAATATTTTTTTTGAAAAAAGTTCAAAACCTTTTTTGGTATTTTTTCGACTAAAAAAGAACGTTTTTGACAATTTTGGCTTTCAAAAGCACCTCAAAACCATATTTTTTACCTTAAAAGCGTCCAACCATGCCCCGCGAACAAATTGTCTTATAACTCGCTTCAAAATGAAGCTAGAAACTTGAATTTTAGCGCAAAATGGAGGAAATATTGTCATTAAGCGTTCTGCCTAAGAATAATACATTTTCAGATATAGTTAGGTTGGCATTTTGACCTTTTACCGGCCGTGGTACTGTACTCCTGACGACATAAACATCTCGAAACGACAGAAAATCGATGATCATTCAAAGAGTGAAACTGAAAAACATGGGGAAAGTTGTGTCTAGAATCGTTTTCCTGGAATCATATGAGCAAAGGCGTGGGAAAATGTTTTTGGCACAAAAAAATTTAAATGACCACATGAATTTTTGGGGAAAAAAAATTGAAAAATCAAGACACAAAACTGACTAGAAATTCGCAAATAAAGTGACTTGTTTTTTGGAGTTAACTCGAAAAAATAGATTTTTAAAAAACAAAAAAAAACATGGCAATTTTGACTTTTTGGTTCAAAAAGCTGGATATGGTTTTTTTTTCAAATTTTGATGTCAACGCTGCATTCAACACATTGAGAGCTTTAAAATGAGCCCACACTCGACTAGGATCCGCTCAATTTGAGTATTCCTGATGGACACGCGACGCACGACCGCGACGCGTCTGAAAAATGAAAGTGGGCGGAGCCTAGTCGTGTTTGGGCTCATTTTGATGCTGAGAGTGCGCTTGATATGAATATTATGTTGGAATTTCAGAAAATTGAGTTTTGAACATGGAATTTTTGAATTTTCAAAAATTTCGCGTTGGAAAACATTTCAAATTCAATTTTTGCAGCAATTTTTTAGAATTTCCACCAAAAAATAAAAAAAAATTAAATTTCAAGTTTTACTTGATTTCCAAAATACCAAAAATTTTCACCTGTTTTCAAAAACAAAATATCACATTTTCTGAGATTTTAGACCTTACTTTTTTCCTGAAAATCTGAAAATCTGAACCAAAAACCGACATTTTTCCTCGAATTTTTTGGCTTTTGTACCCCAAAAAAAAACAGTAAACAAGAATGACGAAAATTGGATTTCTTTTAATATTTCTAGCACCTGTAGACCATGTTTTTCTGATTTTTCTGATTTATGTTTTGAGGATCTGGAGGAATAAAAAAATTGGAAAAATTCAGAAATTCAGAAATTCAGAAATTCAGAAATTCATAAATTCATAAATTCAGAAATTCAGAAATTCATATATTCAGAAATTCATAAATTCAGAAATTCAGAAATTCAGAAATTCAGAAATCCAAAAATTCAGAAATTCATAAATTCAGAAATTCAGAAATTCTGAAATTCTGAAATTCTGAAATTCAGAAATTCATAAATTCATAAATTCAGAAATTCATAAATTCAGAAATTCAGAAATTCAGAAATTCAGAAATTCAGAAATTCAGAAATTCAGAAATTCAGAAATTCAGAAATTCATAAATTCAGAAATTCATAAATTCAGAAATTCAGAAATTCAGAAATCCAAAAATTCAGAAATTCAGAAATTCAGAAATTCAGAAATTCATAAATTCAGAAATTCATAAATTCAGAAATTCAGAAATTCAGAAATTCAGAAATCCAAAAATTCAGAAATTCAGAAATTCAGAAATTCAGAAATTCAGAAATTCAGAAATTCAGAAATTCAGAAATTCAGAAATTCAGAAATTCAGAAATTCATAAATTCATAAATTCAGAAATTCATAAATTCAGAAATTCAGAAATTCAGAAATTCAGAAATTCAGAAATTCAGAAATTCAGAAATTCAGAAATTCAGAAATTCAGAAATTCATAAATTCAGAAATTCATAAATTCAGAAATTCAGAAATTCAGAAATTCAGAAATTCAGA